CTTAAAAAACCTAGAAGAAAATGCTGATTTTCGTTCTAAAAAAGGAATTTGTGTAGTCTAATAAATGTACACATATAAAAATGTCTATGGTATAACTTTTGGCAAATGATAATTACCGGCCAACGAAATTCCCAGTAAATTAGATCACTATGTGTAAGAGGTTCTGAATCGAAAATATCCAAATCTACAGACATACTATCCCATTCTTTTCGATATTGAAGGTCTAACTGGACTTGCATGAAGTCCAATGCTGTTATATCATTAAATGATCCATGCACTAAACAAATATAAAAACAGTAATTTTTAATTTTTAATATTGTTTTTTAATTTTATTAGTTACCTTTATAAACATATAAATTTTGATCTGGGTAATCAACATTAGGTTTTCTCCAAGCATTGTAATAAGAACCACTCGTAAAAGGTTCCCATCCTTCCTCTGCAAAAATAAATGAAAACAAACTACAACAAACGTTAGATAATATTAACTAAAATGAAAATTAATATTTAGTGTTCGCATATAATATAATTACCACTCATGTTTCTACATCTAGGACTATCATAACTGGTATGTGTAAACTCAAATTGGTTTTGATTATTTTCTGTYTTAGATTTTAATTCATTATTATCATTAGAATTCGTGTTTTGAGAAATATTAATATTTTGCTGCTCATTTTGGATAGTATTATTTGTGGTAGATTGTTTATTTAATTTTTTAATAATTCCAAATTCTTGACGTAACCTATAAATAAATAAAAATATATATTTATTTACTTGAAAATTAAATCTCAAATTACAAAATTAATATACCTGATGAACTCATCAACACATATTCTTTCTTTATACCAATCAAATGTAAAAGCCATAGCCACACACATGATCAAGTTTTTTCTGTGTTTGGCTAATTTTTCCTTAAACTTATTGACTGCAGTAATTACTTTTTTGCAAGCAATCATTACCTTTCTAGTTCTTGAAATATGAGTGCCAAAGTCTTGTTTTTTAAAAAAACTTCTAGTGCGTTTTTTTAAAATAGATAATAGTAATGAATCATCTGTTAAAGATTTCTTGCACTTCTTTGAGAATGTACGACATACTGCTTGTGCACGACAACCCGAAGATGCCATCAGTAAATTTGGTTTCCAGGCGGAACCTCTAATTGACATATTGATCAGCTCACTATGATGTAACTAACAAAAAAAAGTAAAACAAATTATTGAATCTTAAAATGGAATGAAAGTTATAAATAATATAATTTTTTATGAATATCTTTTTAAYATCCTAAGGAGACCTAATTGGAAAAATGCCAAAATATTTTGAATGTTTAAAGAAAAACAAATGATTTATGTGAACATGCCTAATACATAATTTTAATAGAAACAACTTGTCATGAAAATAAATACAGTGAAACCTCCTTTAATGGACACTTCCCAATAGCGGACATCTCCAAATAACAGACAGAATTTTGGGAATGGTGAAATGTGTACTCACTGTATTTCCCCTTTTAATAGCGGACGACATTTAAGCGACCAAGAGTGTCCAGTATTTAGAGGTTTCAGTGTACCTTCACAATTAGATAGAAAGATAAATCTAAATTACTTAAGAGCAATCATAGAAGTTCATGGAGTCGTTGGAAACTATTAAAATCACTTTAAACAGTTAAACTATAAGGTATCATTAAACACTTTACATTCTCAGGAAAACTCATTTTTAAATTATAATTTATGTTAAGTACCCGTAAGTACTAAATATTATGTAATAAAATAATATACATAAAAATAAATCACCTATTTATATGTTCGCTGATTGGTAAGTGTATTCAAAGCAATAGCAGTTTATCATCTGTTAAATTACTTTTTATTGGAACACRGCATAATCCAATAACTTGAAAAAGTTTATCAATTAAAAAGGTAAAATGTCTGTGCGTTACGACAAAACGATGTTGAGTAACATACTGTTGCTGTTACGTTACAATGTCAAAGTATTTTTCAGTTCTTCTCCGAGTCACATGCATTACAATATTATAACCCCGTCGATCCAGATACGAATTGATTGTCGGCTAAATGTTGTGAAATATTTAAATGAAAGCGAGGCGCACGCTGATAATAACATAATTAATTCTCACGATTGACTGACATTGAGTGATTGACTGATGGCTGATTTGCTTAGCATTGCAGGCGTAATATTATTATAATAGGTATAGATATACATAACCCGTAAGTCGCATGAACATATCATAGGCACATTTATTGTATTATAAGGGTATATATAAATATCATAGGGTATTACACTTTGATAAAATATCAATGAGTTTTTGATTAGATTCCAAAATACAAGGTTATCTTCTTTCTTCGTCTAAATAGTAGATCAAACATGTGAAAAATCAGTGTTTATACAAAAAAGGGAAAACAATTTCAAATTGTATTATTGTAAATCGACACTGCCATAGACCTATAATAGCAGGCTGGATGACTATGATGGAAACTGCAGAACAATATTAATAGAATGATATTATGAAGACAGTGACTGAATCCGTGAATGACTGAAATAGTGAAATGTGAAATACGATTTAAGTTTTAAGATGATACAGTCTGTAATTATTATCATAAATAGTTATTTTTTAACACAGACTTCTATAATAAGTAAGTAGTAAGTTGTATATAGTAAGTATAGAATATAGAATATGTCTGTGTTTTTTAATAATAAAAATAAATTTGTTATCAGTCACCATAACAAACATGACCACGGTCAGAAGATATGATATACTGATAAGTGATAACCATAACTGCTATATCTGTCCGATCTGTGAGAGAGAATTGTGTAGTTAAAAATTTTAAATATTCAAATAGGTAGTTAACAAAACTTCTTAAATGTTATTAATAAACAATGCGCTCAGACAATTAATAGCGATCAGCAATAAGTTGTTTAATTTTTACAATAAAAATTACAAATACTTATTATAAAGTCGTCTTGATATTGTGATATAATATGCAGAGTATAAATATTGATTTAACATTTTTACATTTATATTATTTTTATGTATAAGTWATATTTTAAACAATGGCAAAGCGTTATTTTAAAAACACATATTCAGACAGTCATGAAAGCGATTCAAATTCATATCACGAATTTTGGAAAGATAAAGTAAATAGCTTGATGCAACGTGTAAGTCGAAATGCTTCATCATCATCAAAAAACACCTTGTATACCGGATCGACCGGTATTGCATACATGTTTTATCACTTGGCTATATCAAACGAGTTCAAGAACGATCCCTCAACCTATTTAAATAAAGCAATCAAAGTTCTAAAACTTAATGAAAACAGTTTTAATCAAAAAAAATCAAATCAATTTATTAGCGGAGATGCAGGAGTAAACGCTGTAAATGCCGCAATATATCATCAAATTGGTGATGAGAAAACTGCAGAAGTGTATTTGAAATATTTTGAGGATGGGGTGACTGCTTGCAAGCCGATACATTCTTTGAAACCGGGAGACGATGAACTATTTGTTGGTCGTGCGGGTTATCTCTATGGAGTTTTATGGTTAGAAAAGGTTTTTGGAAGAAAAATAATACCTGACCAAGATGTTATTGACATGTGCTTGACAATAGTAGAATCTGGTCGTCAATATTCAAAAGCAAATAAAAGCTTGTTTCCCCTTATGTACTCATATCACGGCAAAGAATATTTAGGCACGTTATCTTCTTATAACACAAAACTTAAAATAATTTGATTCGATTTTGATGTGAATCTCATTGTTTGTTATTTGTTGTTTTAGGAGCAGCTCATGGTTTATGTACAATTCTCCAAGCATTAATTTCATTTCCTTGTTTCATTAAAAATGAACAAAAAGATGTAGAAGATATCAAAAAATGTATAGATCTATTGGTATCCCTACAAACGTCCACTGGCAATTTTCCTACTAAAATACAGGAATCAGGATCAAAACAGAGACCCGAGGAAGATGAATTGGTCCACTGGTGTCATGGAGCTCCAGGTGATTGATTTTGTTTTTATAAAATTATAATTATAGACTTAATATTTGCCAATGCTCTATGGCYTGCGGTTAAAAGTTATCTAGATAAATGCARTGTCTTTTTTGTGTGTCACCTTTATTCATTATTCTTACTCTATTTCCTTATTAATATATTTGACACGATTACGTTCCTGTAATCTGAAAAAATGTATATAAATATTTTTATTAAAAACCATTTTCCATCAAATCTTCAAATAGTATTATAGATTTTAAATTTTAGACAAAAATTGAGGAGTTAGAGAGTTTTTATCTTTACAGTGCATTTCTTAAATAATAGGTAGTGGTGAAAAAATGAAAAAAATTGGAGAATTTGAAAATTCTAAAATCATATTTTGAATAAATGTATTATTGGAGAAACATCTGTGGGTAAATAAGCTTAGGAGGAAATCACCTTGTAAATGGGGAGGGGAGGGGTGACAGTGTACATGACAAACGAGGTGTGACAAACTGTATTTCTGAATATTACAAGAACAATTTGTTGACATTTTGATTGTTGTATTTAAAATACAAAAAGTATAAAACTTTATTGTATGAATATTTTTTTCAGGTGTTATATACTTATTAGCTAAAGCATATTTGGTTTTTAAAGAACAAACTTATTTGGAATGCTGTTTAAAATGCGGAGACTTAGTATGGACAAAAGGACTACTAAAAAAAGGCCCCGGTAAGCTAGGTATATGGTATTGTTTAAAATTTTATTTTATTTAATATTAATTTTTAGGCTTGTGTCACGGAATAGCTGGGAATGGATATGTTTTCTTACTACTATTTAGGTTGACCGGCGATAAAAAACATTTAAACCGAGCTATTCAATTTGGTAAATTCATATTCACCGATGAATGTATTCAAGGATCTAGAAGACCAGACAATTTGTACAGTTTATATGAAGGATTAGCTGGTACAGTGTGTTATTTAAGTGATTTAATGCAACCGGAGAAAGCAAGTTTCCCATTTTTAGATGTGTTTTAATTCAATCTTTTGTTGAATCAACTATTGAGTGAATATAGATTGTAAATAATGATATTGCCTGTTTCAAATGTTTTGAAAATGGATGTACATTTTTAMATGTTTTTATGACAACTTTAATTCTGTATGTCGTATAATACATTGTGAATAAACCATGTAAATGTTTATAAATGACATCAATACTTAATTTTTCAATTTAATTAATTATGAATGTCGAATGAAATCATAATGTAGATAAAATTATATAGATTATTGTATCAAAATTCAAGGGTATAACCAGTGTTTTTTTAAATGGAGATGGGGTCACAACTAATAAACCCTTTTCTGTGGCGACGCTACTATCTAAATTGTGAATGATATTATCTATACAAGTTTCATGTTTATGATATAAAATCATTAATTTGTATTTAAGCCTGTTCATTATTTATTCTTCAGATTAATGTTTTCGTTTTAAATTATAATTTTGTTCAACTAAATAAATATTGTTTATAAATCCTAAAAATTGTATTACTTATTAAACAATTATCAATTTATATTATTCAGAATTACAATTATAAATTTATAATACTGAAGGATAGAGTAAATAAAAATAATCGTAAAAATTAAAACACATTTATGTTTAAATTACTGTACAAGTTGCATAACAATATTATGATATAATGATTGACTTTACATTAGTCATTTTTGGAATRGGACTGATTAGAGAACATTAATGTATTATAAAAAATATTTTGGATTTTTGTTTGAATTTCACTTCCAGAAAATGTTTGATCAACAGGAAACTCGCGTACTATACTCTTATACAAGGTTTTCATGGATTTTTTTAGCTCACTTGAACTTTCTTTTTCATTTGATTTATCATTAACCAATGCTTCTAATTTTGTTAATCTTTCGTTGGTTTTAATATTTTCAATTTTCAAATTTTCAAATTCTTCATAAAGTGATTCAATACAAACTTTTGAAGGAGCAGCAGTTTCAACAGTTAGGCTATCTTCAACGATTTCTTTATTTTTATTTAAAGAAGATTCATTTTTAGAAGCTGAGTTCAATGGTTCTTGAGTTTGATTTATACTTTCTGAGAAATCATGTATGACTTCTTCTTTGATTTCGTAGACATTTTTCACAGTCACAGTTAAACATAAACATTGTCGCCCGTTAGTTAAAATTTTCCAAGCACCCATTTCAGTAACTGGTATGTATACAATCCTTTTGGTGTTTTCATTAACCCCTAACAAAGATCTTTCCCAACCTTCTCGATTAACATTAACTTTTAAGTAACGATTATCATCAGTGTTATTAGAAACTTCCGGCCCAATTGTCTTACCCTGAACTGTATGGGCAACATAAATGATCTCCACTATACTACCATACATTGCTACATTGTCATTGCGAGAAGGATAATAAAGATCAAACCAAAATAGTTCCTTAAACCCGTTAAGTTTCCACAGCACAAATGCCAAATTTGAGTTGAAGTCCACAGCATCATTTGTATTTGAGAATTCTAAATGCCAGTTTTCATTGCATATAAATCTGACCGTATTGTTTTCATTAACATTGTACTTAAAGTCTTTGGTTATTACAAGATTGACRAGAACAGAACTTTTACTACCATAAAGTAATAGTTGATAATAATTTAACTTCACATCTCCAGCCAATGCAAATCCATATTTACCAACTGCAGTTAATTCATCGTTTTCAAGCTTGCTGACAGTCACTGCTTTCGCGAYAATAGTTGCAACCGTTGGAGGATTAGTTGCCAAAGACTTTGGTCGTCGATTTTTTTGATTTGAATCATCCTGATGTTTGAATGCTTCGCTTCCAATGGTTAAGTCCATAAATCAAAGAAATTGTTACTTTTTCAGTTTTTGATAACTATTCTATATTATAATTAACTAGAAACTAGAAAGCATTTTAAATTTTTAATCATAAGAGCATTTTGCACAATTTTGATTATTTATCATGTTTATAGTATTTTTATCATAAATACTAAATGATAACAGATTTTTGAGTTCTCAGCAGGTGTCTCTTCTGGTTGTCCTGATTGAACCACTGAACAATCATCATGTTTTGTGATTAAAGGATTCACCATTTTAAAATGTATTTAATCTCATGAATAGTCAAAATTTGTGTATTGAGAAACAAAAGACTAGATACAGATACAGAAACAGAAACATAAATTAAAACTTACAAACCAGGCCCTAAACTCCACAATAATTATCATAATAAATTGATGAAGTGCAAATTGATAAAAAAATGAAAAACATTTTTTTGATGTTTGTTGTCATTTATTCTATTGATTAAAAGCCAATTTTTGCAGAAATAAATTTATTTTTATTTCTATAAATTATTTTTGCTTTCATAAAAATCTAAAATATTTATATTTTTTGTAACTGAGAGTGAGACTTAAGTAATCATTTACATTTTTATAAACTGATATTTTACATTAAATAAAATCATATTTAAAGATATAAATTAAGCAAGAGACCTGAAAAACAAGTTTTAACAAATAAATTTCACTAGACMTACAAATTACCTATCAAAATTGTGTCATAAAAATAATAAAAATACATTTCTGATAGAGCATAATATGTTACTTTCCACTAAACTCTACATCATAAGATGTATTGAAATAAATTACAAGTACAAAAGTAAACATTTAATAACTGTTTGAGATAAAAAAGGTGTAATTAAAACACGTCTAAAAATGGGAAACTAGCTTTCTCCGGTTGCATTAAATCACTTAAATAACACACTGTGCCAGCTAATCCTTCGTATAAACTGTACAAATTATCTGGTCTTCTAGATCCTTGAATACATTCATCGGTGAATATGAATTTACCAAATTCAATAGCTCGGTTTAAATGTTTTTTATCGCCGGTCAACCTATAGAGTAGTAAGAAAACATATCCGTTTCCAGCTATTCCGTGACACAATCCTAAAATTTAAAATTAATATTAAATTATTAAAATTTAAACAATACTATAAACTTTTTCTYTCTACCAGACAGGAACCAAACACACTATAAAGTAAAAAACGAGACAAACGGCTTAGGAATCATACAACACTTTATTAACGCAAGAATATGAAGCGACAGGTCGACCTTCCCAAACCAGCGCTGGTCTCCACTTGCTTTACTCCCGTGGCGATAACTAACTACCTAACTACTGTCTACTATTTAATGTCTTCTCGAGATAGTGTCAAACACACATGTCACGCGAGCTGGTGGAGTTTACAATACCATATACCTAACTTACCAGGGCCTTTTTTTAGTAGTCCTTTTGTCCATACCAAGTCTCCACATTTTAAACAACACTCCAAATAAGTGGGCTCTTTAAAAACCAAATATGCTTTAGCTAATAAGTATATAACACCTGAAAAAATAAAAGTCCATTTAATAATGCTTAGATTTTTTATTATTTTTGTTTTATGTTTTGAATTTAAAAAAATGATTTTTAAAAATTAATAGTTATTAAAATAATTATAACAAAATAAAGACAATTACCCGGAGCTCCGTGACACCAATGAACCAGTTCATCTTTTTCAGGCCTTTTTCTTGAATTTAATTCATCCATTGCACAAGGGAAATTACCACTTGTTGTTTGAAATGATATCAGTATATCTATACTCCTTTTAATATCTTCCATAATTTTTTGATCTTTTTCAATAAAACAAGGAAATGAAATTAATACTTGTAGAATTGTACACAGACCATGAGCTGCACCTAAGAAATTTTTTTAATAATTAATGAAATATTTTTAAAAACAAATTTGCATAAAAGCTCTGAATACTTACCTAAATATTCTGTATTATAATATGAGTACATGAGAGGAAATATACTTTTATTTTTTTTAGAATAATTGCGCCCAGACTCCACAATTGTTAAACAGAGTTGAATAATGTCTAGGTCAGCTATTATTTTCTTACTAAAAACTTTTTCTAACCATAAAATTCCATAAAGATAACCTGCACGACCAACAAATAATTCGTCTCCTCCTGGCTTAAAAAAGTTGATTGGCTTACAAACGGCTAACCCATTTTTAAAACGCTCTAAATACATTTCTGCAGTTTTCTCATCGCCAATTTGGTGATATATTGCAGCATTCACGGCATTAACTCCAGCATCTCCACAAATGAATTGACTTGAGCATTTTTCAGTTAAATTGTGTTCCATTAGTCTTGAAACTGCAACTGCTTTATTCAATAAGGCAGCAGAATCRTTTTTAAACCCTTCTGATGTAGATAAATGAAAAAACATATATGCGATACCAGTCGTTCCAGTATACAAGTCATTATCAGGGGACAACGAAGTATTTTGACTTATACACTCCATCAGACGGTACACGTTATCTTTCCAAAAATCATGAAACGTATTAGAATCAACTTCCTGACCATCGAGCAATACATTTTTAAAATAGCGTTTTGACATTTTCTAATTGTTTTTCTACTGATGTCTGTTATTAGTATTCATGACGTATACACTTAACAATTAGCATTTAGTTTAACGATTAAAAATAAGTAACTTTTTCAAAAGACTAACTTTATTTAGTTTTTTTTTATTACTGATCTTTTATGAAGAATTGTAAGCTATGTGCTACTACTTGCTTGGTATGATAGAAATTAACAAATAACGATTGCCATATCAAAATAAATCACTAAATTTAATTTGTAACGTTATGTCGTTATACGAGTAAGCGAGTAACAAAAGATAATAATATACCTAATAAATACTAAAAAATAATTAATTAGCACAGAATTTTTGACGACAGTCGCAGATAGATACCTAATTGTAAAAAATAATACATCTGTATAAATCCGTTGTTGGCGTTGTTGCCGGCCGACCATGATGTGTGATAACAATGTTAGTAAACACCACAGATATAAAATAAAGAATTATCTAGATAAACCATAGAGTATGGAGTAAACACTAAACACAGCGTAGGATAARAACCACAGATATATATAATAATATTTATTATATATATCTGTGATAAAAACAAAGATATAGATCAACAGTCAACAACTTGCGGACCGTGGAAGACAAAAAACTGGACCGYGAACATATCTTACAATTTTTTTGTCTTCATATTATTATTATAAAAATATAAAGATTTGACAAATTTCTCTGGACCTCATTTATTTTAATATTTCAATCTTCCGGACTCCAATAGATATTACTTGCCGACCACTGAATAAACAATTTAAAAAAATAATTTTTATAAAGGTACCTACACCACAGAATATATGAAAAAATATAAATTTCATATATTCTGTGGTTACACTCTTAGATCATATACTAGACGCTAGTATATGATTTAAGGTTACACTAAGCAATTCATATGTAGAAACCACTAGCAGTCAAAATATGAAACACAGACCAAATCTTTAATACCTTCTCAAACTTCATGACAACTCTTAATTCATTAATGATTAGTCTATTCATTTCTCTTCTTTCTTCAGTTAATCGCAAAAGACCTATATCTCCATAATTTATAATCATTGCACAACACCAATATTATTAAATATAAAATAATCATTAGCTAGCATTTAATTTTAATCGTCAAAATTACCAATACTACTTATTATATATTATGTTATAAAAATTATTACTAATAATATATTAACGCTATCAAAATAGTACAAAAACAAATGCTTGTAATAGCTCATCGTAATGTTCTGAAACATTTTAATTTTTTTATAAATAAATGTATTTACAATCTGTAATGTAATAAAACAATAAGTAAATTTGAGATTTTYTTACAAGATTTGGAGGCTTGAGTGAAGGGTGCGTCCATTGACATTACTTCAAACTGGTTTTTTTTTGTATTTAGCGAAGTAARTCACAAGGCCAATTTCGTTTTAGTCGACGGGGAAGGTTATCCGGGAGATTCTTAGAGGAGAGGTTTGAGATTAGCGGGTTTGGATGATTTACATTTTAATTTACAAAATAAAAAGAGGTTACACTTTATTAATACCATAAGCATCATAAATCATGATACATTTTTGATTTAAAAAAATTAATAAATTAATACTTTTTTAAAATTATTAACTACTTATACAAGTATAAGCTAGGAATCCTAATTCCTAGCATAATTACTCTTAGCCTAGGAMGACACGTCTCCGCTCAGAATCGTTTTCCGCATGCAATTATTGATCATTTAAATATTGAATTCAAATATCACATCTATGATCCATTATAATTACATGCTCAATTACCACTGTACACTACATATTATGCTCATATAACGATACGTTTTATTAGAAATAAACTTTCGTATTTAKTTTAGGAATATTTTTCCATTCAATGGGCATAAAAAAAAAATGGAAACCATAAATTTTAAATAATACATATAGGTATGAGGTATCCAATTTGAGTTGGTATGATAAATAGGCTTAGTGATTATTTAYATAAATGTATATAGGTAGTCTACATTCTTTCCTTCGAAAAAAAAAACGTCAACAYAAAGCCGTGGTCATAACTAAATTTAGTTTCCGAGATAAAGCCGTTATTTTAACACGTTTAACACTATACCAACTATAAAATAGTAAAATACCTATCGCGCAATCGTGTTTCTTCGTGTCTATTGTGAAATTGAAATTTTATCTCAACTAATTCGGTATGAAATATTGAAATTCCAGCAGCTGTAAACAATAATGCGGATTAATGCGTATTGGGAACTAAAAGATTTGAAACAAAAATAACCTTGATAAATGTATGTGTTATTTTTCATGAAGTTTCTATAAATTGCAATAAAAGCAAGTCTATATTAAGGTGTATTTGCTTGTAAAGTGACGCCAATAATATAAGAACCAAAGAAATAAGATGCCTATGTGTTTTTCAAAACAATAAACTGCCCAAAAGTTACATTTTAAAATAGGTACTTCGATTCACTCTAAAGTATAAATTACATACAAACATAAAATTGAGGGGAAGAGGAATTAATTTAAAAATAAATTAAGATTTTCTTATACATTTTAAAAGTACCCAATCTATGTTTACTAAATTGGCGCGTTATCGATAACGCTTTAGAAAACAAATTTAAAATTCTAAGGCGGAAAGTGCCCCGTTATGCTATCCTACCCCTGGAGACGCCCATGCATACAGAGACTAGACTTTTTTGTCCTCCATCAACAACTATTTTTTTCTAATCAATACTTTTGAAATCAGATTCGATAACTTAAAAAGTTACTATATCTGGTACTAAATATTAACTCTGCGCATAAAGTTTTTATAAACTATTTTAATTTTTTATTTTAGCAGTCGTCTATAATATAACTATAATATAAGATGCATTACCCATACATTATTATACGTCCTAATGTCCTATTATAAATGGATATTTTTTTTTGTACACATTTTTATAGACTTGAAAAATAATTTATTTAATTAACTAAGGTAAAATTGGTTTGATGAATACAGTAGGTATTATTTTTTTAATAAAGTTTTGACGTTTTCTGCGTTTATACATTATTTATAGTACATACTATATAATATAGTCAATATATATATATATATAGGTTAGGTTAGGTATAGGTAGGTAGGTACACCAGTTTTCCCACATTTACACACCTTCGATAATTTTTGTTTGTACGTTTATATACGAACTGAATTAGATATAAAATATTATATTATTTAATTTAAATAAATAACACGTAGGTAGGTGTAACAAAAAAAAAAATGAATAAGTATTATACTCGAAATACTGTTAAATATAAATTTGTATTAAAATTCACGATCATTAAGCCGGGATCCCATGACTCGTGTATTTGATGAATATTCGGTATTTGTGGATACTCGCCAAGTAGTGGGAATGGAGTACTTGTACGAATATTCGGTATTCGCTATTCGTTATTCGTCATTCGCCACCTTCCCGCGGATTGTCGGTAAATGTGACACGAGTCAAAGAGAATTTACTTATTTTACTTGCCGATTATTCTAGTATTCGTGGATATTCGTTAAATGTACGAGTTGTGGGAATGATCTACTTGGCTATTCGTATAACTTGYCGATTATTTGAGTATTCGTCAAATACACGAGTCGTGGGATCCCGGCTTTAGATATTATTTATTATATAGAGAATTTTCTAACATCAATTTTTTATATTTTAAATTCAGAGATTTTGAAGAAAATAACTTCAGTTCGTATATACATACGATTACATATATAAATTATAAATAAAGAATACATAGTATCACATATGTACAATGTACGTGAAAACATATTGTATATCTAAATTATAGCAGTTATTATTGACGAACAGCTATGTCATCACATTTAATGGCGTTGTAAATGTTATAGGCATAAGCAATAGTGAATGTAAAGAAATGATATAATATGTACCCAGACTTTTATGAGATACTTAGTTATCAGGTCTTATTACTTACTCAGGTTATACGCAAAGTATTTAATTTAAAAAAAAACTCGATTTATTTTGTGATTCCCGCCAACCTGCGTTCGACCAAATTCAATCTATTCCTCATTTCTTTTGTCCTCATATAATATTGTACTTGCAGAACGACTATTATTCCGTCGCTATTATTTCTCGTCAAATGCGTAATGCTTGTTACTTAATAGTTATGACTTCGATAATTTTTCGTAATCTGTAAAAGTGTAAATTATCTTTGCATCTATATACATATACATGCATACATATATATATATTTATATAAGTGTAACTTATTTGTTTACGAGCACATTAATAACTGTTACGATATTACTGTACGATTTTTTTTTAGCTTTTATGATTGATTTTTGTGTAAAAATCAAATAAAAACATTTTGTAATACAAACAATACATTGAATCCCATTACTGCTTTTAGTGTACGTGCATATTATATTTCTAATTTCTAACAGGAATTGGTATTTTTCATTTAATATAGATATATATTATATACTATACGAGTATAAATGTTTAATATTATGTTATACAGTCCCCTGTTGGCGGGTTTTAACAAAATACTAAACTACTACAATAATACCTCGTAATATATTTTTATAGGTGACCATAAACTAGGTATAGCCTAAAGTTAAAGCTATAAGTAAAGCTATCTACAGCTACAACGTACCATTTGTCAATCAATTTGAAAAATAAGAAGTTAATTTATAATCATGTTTATATATATATTTACAACTGTTTATACTTTTATASTTAAGACTGATTGATTAATTTTCTTAACACCGCTTTATCTAATGAATTAAAATATAAATTATTAAATATTTCTTGATATCTAATTGATACAAACGCGTGACTGTCTATTCATTTTCTAAACTCTGCAGCATTGACAGCATTAAGTAATAAGATATATCTAGTGCATTTTTAACAAATTTATTACCTACAAATTGAAAGTAACATGATCACTAGTGTATGTGTCCCAGGTGGCGATTAAAAAAAATCGACCTGCAACTGCTTTTTAACCGTGTTAAGATTATATTACTCTCCATATTAACTTTAWCTTTCATATTTAAATATATTGTTGTTTAACTTAATAACGTTCTTATAACGTTGGTCGTTGATACTTAACTCAAGTTAATTTGTTTCGATATATTAATTCCCAAATTTGATTATATATGACGTATATATACTACGTAGCGTTAAATTTAAAATCTAAGAACCCCTGTTCTAAATAATAATCATGATACACCGATACATAAATAATAGCTATTCTACGTGCCATTGTACAAATTGTAACAAGGTTTCGGGATCATCATCATCATCATCATCATCATCATCATCATCATCGCCGCCCGATATTACCTATTACGGATATCATTGTGTGGCCGAGGCGTACGTATATATAGTTGAACAATAATAATTAACGTTCACGGTTAGACGATATATTATTTTGTTTATTTATTATTACTATAGGTCGATTCGTAGCATTGAAACTAATGAACAACACCAATATA